GAAATAAGAATAGAGTGAAACAAAGAAGAAGAGGACACTGTTTTGTGTCAGTCTAGTTTGTCTGTCTCGTTGCCTGTCTGTCCTTTCATATTTCTTTTCTTCGCTCATCTTATTTCTTCTTCTACTTCACGTGCTTACGCTCTTAGTCAATAGTTCTGTGCCAATATATAAATACATAGATATAGATATATAGATACATAGGGTTCAGCCTCCTGATGAGTCGGTGAAACTCCGACGAAACAGTTTGTCACAGCCCCTCGTTTGTTGTCCTCTTCTCCCTCCCTCTGCCTACGGTTTACCGGGCAGCTCTGTTTGACTATATATAGATACATAGTGTAGATGCACATGTATATGTATGTGACGATATATATGTATATATTTTAGAAGTGCAGTGCTTGCAACGGGCACATTTCTTGGGGCGTCATCTGTGTTTGATGGATTGAGAATCCGGTAATGAAGTATATGCGAAATGAAACCGAGATCTTTTAGGATCCTAGTTGCACCACTCGCCATCTGCCACGAGTTTGAATGCATTTGGACGAGCTGTTGTCCAGATGCATTCAACATCTTGGTGGATGGCCAGGGGTCCAACTTGGCTGTCAGCCGCCATGTGTCAGACATCCATCGAGGGTCTAGTGCGAGTTTATTGATTTACCTAAAATATAGTTGATTCCTTCAATGGTCTGGTTTGTTCGATAAGCGGCGTTAATCGAGTTGATTCCTTCAATGATCCACGTGGTGCCGATGTTAATCAATCTTACATACATGTAGTTAAATTTCAATAGAGTCCTTCAATGATCCACGTGGTGSCSATGTTAATCAATCTTACRTACATGTAGTTAAATTTCAATAGAGTCCWTCAATGATCCACGTGGTGCCGATGTTAATCAATCTTACATACATGTAGGTAAATTTCAATAGAGTCGATTTAGAAGGAAGGCGATCGAATGTGTCACGGGTCTCACCCAACGGTGTACATACGAGACAATGACGAAATCGTGAGCATTTCAATTACTGATCCACGTGGCTACGTTCTTCTTCCCGGTCGATTGCCATCTCTCTCCTTAAAAGTTGAGGGGGAATTGCATGACTGATTTGCAATCGTCATGGGGGTTGACGATGATGATCAGAGGGAGAATTGCATCTTGATTAGCATCGTAGATAATCGGCAGCGCCATCTTGTGAGTAGAGGGAAGTACTAGCAATTCGTGACAAACACTAGCGCTGTGGAGGCCAGAAAAAAAAGGGTTTGCGCCTGAAAAGACGGGGGTGTGATCTTCCACGTGTCATTCTCTGGTCAGTCGATGTGGCGCGTATACATCGGTAAAGATCGGCATTCCCTGCGGTCTATGCGCAGCGCCATCTACCATCTTCCCCCGAATAGAACGTACGGTCATATTCGCTGCATCCGGACTGAAATGTGAGCCAAATGCGGCCATAATGACCGTACGTTCTATTCGGGGGAAGATGGGTAGTGTACCTGGTGTCCCGTGCGGACTACTACTCTGTTCTAGCTCTTCTTTGCGGTCTATGTGCAGCAGTGCCATCTAGTGTCCCTTGCGGAATCCTCCTGATCGTATTACAGTAGTTGTCATGCACACAGCACTTATCCTCTCAGGGCCCTCTCTCCACACCTCTCCCCCGCTCTTCGTCGCTTGGAGGCAATATAACTGCACTGGGGGAAGTGTCAACGTTGCCGGCTGTTGATCGTGTTGTATCTTACCTATGTCATACCTACATAGAATGGAATCGAGGTCATATACGTCGCTGGTTCATGCAGCATAATTGGGCGCAGATACATCTCAGAAACTCCCTCTTTTGGATATCCTCTTAGAGCCTAACTGCGTGACCATCTTAGCAATCCTGCAATACGATTCACCATCTCTGCAATCAATTTCAGATATATCCTCTTTAATGTATGCTCTTAGATATATCCTCTTTAATGTATATATCTTTAATGTATGCAATCCTCTTTAATATATATGCTCTTAGATTCCACTCGCGCGAATAGTATGCTCTTAGTATATGCTCTTAGATTCCTCTTTGTTAGTATATGCTCTTAGATTCCTCTTTGTTAGTATATGCTCTTAGATTCCTCTTTGTTAGTATATGCTCTTAGACTCCTCTATTGCTCTTAGTTTATGCTCTTAGATGTATATAGGATTCCTCTATGTTCTTAGATTCTACCCACTCTTCGATCAATTTCAGATACATCTCAAAAACCCGCTCTGCATGTGAGCGATAAGACGGTAGTCGTTACACAATAGCAGCACACGCTACATTCTCAGCAGTAGCTTGAGCAGCATAATTGGTTGAACGACGAGATCCTTTAAATCCCACTGAACCAGAAGAGGACCAAGATTTGGTATCTCCAAAAGAATCTTGATTGTCGGAATTTCCGGAACACGTGCTTTGCATCTGACCGAGTAAGAGCGCGAAGTTCGTACTGGAAATGGTTTGGGAAAGGTAGGAAATCCTGAGGGGGAGCATATACCCGTCCCTGGTCTGGCTTACAGTACCTCTAAACACATGTCCTCGGTAAGGTTCCTCCTAAGGGGGAGCGTCCTGAGGGGCAGCGACCGGCAGCCACATGTCCTTGAGCGAGTTCTTAGTGGAAATGGTTTGGGAAAGGTGGGAAATCTCGACATCCTGTCCTTCAGGACATCCGTTAAAATCGGAGCGATACAGAGAAGATTATTATTTCTTTTCTTTTCTTTTCTGTTTCTTTTTGTTTATTTTATACTGGAAATCAAAATCAAATGAGCTGTTGGCCTTCTGCTCGACACGAAATTTCTGTTCTCGTTGAGCTCATCTTAGGACACCTGCGTTATCTCTTAACAGATGTGCCGCCCCTGTGCAAAAAAATACGTGTCGCACCTGCGTTATCTTCTAACCGAGAAGATTATCATGGCACCTGCGCCCCCCCCAAAAAAAGAAAAAGTCTCGATATCCCCGTCCCTGATCTGGCTTACAGACCTCCAAAACAAGCTGGGTAAGGCCACTAAGGGGGAGCATCATGAGTGGTGACGACCGGCAGCCACGTGTCCTCGCAGACATTATTCACATTCCACGTGTCCTCGCAGACATTATTCACATTCCCTACCGTCGCCCTCTGGTTCGATGGAAGTATTAAACACGCCCTCGTTCACATCCTCCACGTCCTTTATATATTTTACCTGTATGACGTCTTGATTGAACTTTGATGTATTTCTATTCCCCTCGGAGACTGCACGTGTAAGCTCCTTCGTAAGGATCCTGTGGCCTGCCTTTCTGTGGCAGTTCAGCAAATTGTCAATGTGATCGATTACACTGGCAATTTTTTAGTTAGACGGCTATTCAGTGAATTGTCAGTGTAATAGGTACCTCTGTATTGTGGTGATTACCGGATCGAGGTGTGTGGAAGACTGCTCGGTTGAAGCCTCATTGCACCGATGTTATGCATCCAATTATCGGTGACGGAAGGGTGCGCTATCTCATGCCTGCTATTCAGAACGGGGATGCATGTGGATGACACATGTCAACTGCGGAGGACCCGCTCCTTCTCTCTGACGTTGGCGTAATCCCATCCGTCATAGTGATTGCTGTGTAGAGAACTCCCCTCATTATAGAGGACTTCTGTCTGTCCACAAAAAGATACCCAAAAAGATAGCCCCAAACATACCCAAAAGTATACACAAACATACACAGAAATATACACAGAAATGTACACAGAAATATACACAGAAATATACACAAATATACACGAATATTCATAAACCCAAAAAATACCCAATAACATACCCAAAAACGTACTCTAAACGAGCCAAAAGGATACACAAACATATACACACAAATAGACACAAATATTATAAACATATACGCAAAAATATACACAAAAATAACACAAAAATAACACAAAAACAACACAAAATAACGCAAAAATAACACAAAAATAACACAAAAATAACACAATAATAACAGAATAATATACACAAAAGTATACACTATTTAACACAAAAGTATACACAAAAACATAGAAGTTAGTAGTTTGGTTTTGTACTGGTCAAAACCTTACCAGTATTGTCTTTTCTTAGGGGTACTTTGAGTTTTAAATTTGAGGAGGACCTTTGTATGCTTATGGGCCTTAGGTTTTGACCCTATTGTCTTCTGCCGAGTAGAACGCACGGTCAGTATCGGTCAGCATCTATAGACTAAAAGTTGCCCCAATGTCTATAACGACCGTACGTTCTATTGGGGGGAAGGCGGTAGTCTCAAGACCCAATTCGTCCGCACCTTACCAGACGGCTTGCTGGCTGTCATTGTTCGCATGGTGTGTGAAATTGCGACCTCATGTTGCCGTTTGCTGGAACAACTACACGGTTATTCGTACTTGGTTTTTAAGTGCTCCGGACCAGTTAAAATTGCCGGGCATTTGCGTGCCATTTTTAGCAGTCTATATGGCCACGTACGTGCATATCACAGAGGGAGTGTGACCGTTAAAGTTGTGGGAAGGAATGGCATGCAGGAGGAAGATAGGGAATACGAGAGTGAAATGTTTTTTTTTTTTTAAACATTTTCAGTGACAGCAAGAGAAGCAGTCTCATCTGACGGCGATGAGAGCAGCGCCTCTGGAATATGTGTTGTTGTCTGAGTTGTCTTTGTTTTGATCTTCCCGTTGGATCCTCTGTAAGAGGCTGGTTTGTTTGATCTTCCCGTTGGTGTGCTGCCCAATGTCAGCCTCCTTTTTCGTCTGCGTTTGTGCTGTGAATCTGTGAAAGAAGCAGCGCCTCTGGTACCTGACTGTCTTCTTCTGTTGGTGTTCTTCAAGGCCGGTTTGTTCGGTCTTCCTTTCTTCCTGGCTTTATGAGGCATTGTCCACATTCATTCAGACTTATCAGACTTTTCGGGCTTGCCTGTGTGACCTCACCGTCCGTTAGGCCTGCCTTCATGAACCGTTCTCTCGTCATTGAGCCTTGTCTGTGCCTGTCTGTGTGATTTGGCCTTTTTTTTTGTGAGCGTAGGTATGTGAGTACCTGGCGGAGAAGTGTGGCCGCAGCACCAGTGAGCAGCAGAAAGTTAGAGAGCTGGTACGGCCGCTGAAGATGGGAGCAGGAATGCCAGAAGCTCGGGTTGCCCCTAAGGATGAAGGCGAGAACCCTGGGTTGCCACTGTCTGCACGGGACGAGGCAAAATTGGAGCGTCGCAGGAGGAGGGAGGAGAAACAGAGGCTGGTGTGTGATGGACTTTCGCTCCCTTTCCTCTTTTGTTGTGCGCTTTTTCCTTTCCCCGTTTGTCGAGAGGAGTTTGAGTCAATCAGACACACCCAAATTATTTGGTCTCCTCTGGATCCTCGACGTGCAACAAATTGGAACAAAAAACATCATTTCGTTGAATCGGTAGTCCTATTTTCCAATAAGTTGGAAATGCAATTTGCACAATTTATTTTAGATGGATCAGGCGTCCACAATGTTTTTATAATCTGGATGACTGCCAATGGTGCAGTCTGTAAGTGCCCGGTGGGTGCCAGCAGGTGTGGTTGGCCTAATGGGGGTAAGAGGGGGAGAACA